TGCACCATATGCATATAGCGAAGGATCCTGGGTGGCTCCATACGCGTAGGCATCATAACCTTGTCCATAGGCATAATAAGCGTTCCATTGAATTGGATTAGCAGGCTGACTCCAAACACCAGCGTCCTGCAAGATAGCACCATATTGAGTAAATGCTAAACAATTAATAACTCGTGGAATATAAGCAATTCAGATCTATAGTTGATACCAACATGCTGAATAACAGTTTGCATCTTGCATATACAGACATCACATAAATGTCGATAATGAATAGATCCATATATAGCACAGAAGATTTTATTATGTTTGTGATAAATATTGACCTATCTTGAATGGACAACTTTTCCAGAGCTTGATACGAATTTGTTCCAATCACTGGCTACAGTTAACCTGATGGTCATTCCTTCAAACTCTTCTGACTTTAAACGGCTTATTAATGAAGAATCTTACCAATATTAAATAATTTTATGACATGGATAGCCTCTTCATGACACTTGCATAAGATCCTAAAGACTGCACTTTGTGGCTAAAAATAAAAATCTACATGATTATTTTCACTTGTTTAACAGTCGGACTCCTGCAACAATTTTATGACATGAATAACTTTTTCGTGACACCTTCCTAAAATCTTAAAGAAAGAATAAAGTGTGTGGCTAACAATAAAAATCTAGAAGGATAATCTTCACCTGCTTAGCTGTCGGACTCCTACCCTATGAAACACGAACAACTTGTTGACCAACCACAACACCCTGCATCCTCTGGATTGGCTCTTCAGCAGATGACCTGTATAGTGAATATTAAGAGACAAAACTTGAAAGCAGAGTAAAAATGCTAGGAATAAGTAAAAGATCAATATCTCTATGATTTGACATAATTGTATCTTACAATCAACTGTAATAGGCAGCTATCACATATCAAGTTTGGCAGATAGATAAACTTATCCCCCCCCGGTTTGATATAAAAATGAAAGTTCATGAACACAGATACCTGGCAGCAAACTGCACAAAACCACAACCCTTGGAAGCAGGGATCTTAACATAAACAATTTCCCCAAACTGCAAAAATACTTGTCTCAGTTCTTACCAACATAAACCTGTAGTTAAGCAAAGACTGTCAGAAGAGAACTGGAATATGACGTAACACATTCCATGTTCTTATCTTACTATTGTATTAGTCAAGTCATTATCTACAGGAATAGTCTGCACTGTAGGAGGATAAATAGCAGGCGGATAAACAGCTGCATCAAAATAAAAATTCATTGTTTAGTGTACTGAGGAACATAAAGTAAATCAAAAGATTACTGCATTTATAAGCTACACGAATCTTCCAAGAAATGACTTGAGTGACCAAGAAATTTAATGTTCTTTCTCAGATAATTATTGTTCTCTTCAGTTATTAAAGGTGCATCAGCAAGAAAAATGAAAAGTTATGGGAACTGTTCCTGCAGATATTTTATGGGTTGTGTAATCTGAAACTTAAAGACGAGGTTGATACTCTAATAGAATTCCATTGAACATTACAGGTTTAAGTTATGAACTGTATTCTCATGTTGCATAGTCATTGGGATTCGAGGTTAGCTCACACATAGTGAGCACTTCATGCTTCACCAGTTGGTGAGGGATCAAATCCCACTCAGATAATTATTGTATATGGTTTTCTCCTTTCATTTTGAAGAATATGAAGAGCAACAATTAAATTAATATCAATATATACATATTACTTTATAAACAAATAACAGAGAATCACAAACTGATTTCAAAATTTATCCAAAAGTACAACATACTTATTAAATGTTCAGGAACCAATGCAATAGCTCTTTTTCCATTTGATTCATGAATCTTAGAAAGAAATGTAGTATATAAACCTCAAAAATAACACTGATTATCTTTCGATAGTCAGATTAAATTTTGAAAATCTTCTTTAAATACTACATTTGTAGCTTCAGTACTTATTTGTCCATCGTCATCATAAACCAAAACTTTTAATCTTTTTCTAGTTGTAACCCAAGAAAGAGCAATATATAGTTGTCCGTGTGTAAACACTGGTTTCTTCAAAAATAATCCCACGTAAGACAATGATTGTCCTTGACTTTTATTGATTGTCATGGCAAAAGATATAGCGATTGGAAATTGTGTTCGCTGGAACTTAAATGGAATTCTAGCATCAGACGGAGTTAATGTCATTCTATGAATAAACACTTTCTGTCCAGCCATATGTCCTGATAGAACCTTGGCTTCAATAACTTGATTTCCAAGTTTAGTTATGATCAAACTTGTTCCATTACGCAATCCTGCTGACTGATCAATATTTCTTAATAACATCACTGGTACATCAACCTTTAGAGTAAGAACGTGATTTCGAACTCCCGAACATTTAATAGTATTCAAGAATTCTGGTGTGTGTACATGTTCCAACGCTGAATAAGTCTGATCAGAGCTACAAATTGTATCGGAACTCAAATATGATTTCTCAGAACTATGATTGAGCATTGATTGATTGATTCCACCATATCAAGAGTTGGAGCAAGAACGACTCTTTGATGGAGGTATCCAATATCATTACAACGACGGGTGAAATCAGGATATGTACTTTCTACAATTGTAGATATTGGATCAGCAGATTCTTTTATCGAAAGATCATCCAGTATTTGAACTTTTTCATTGCCATCAACTGAACTACCTATCATCTCATCACCAATTGCCAAAATCCAATCTAAAAAATCTCTCAACTCATCCACATGGGGCCCGATTTCATTACCTTGCAATCTCATATTCTTTGTTAGCGTTAAAAGTTGACAATAAGGCCATAAATAAGAAGAATTGAGAGAAGCATTAACAATATCTTGCCTAGTACCCTTTGGGATGACATGTAAATTTTAAATATAGATGTAAATTTGGTAAACCTTGGAATTTTTGAGGTTTCATAAATTGTAAAACAACAATCAAAGGTTCGTCCATAGCTCCATTCAAGTATGGCTGAATTTGATCCACAAGTTCACTCCATAAGGTTGCCATAATTCTGTTCCTCCTATAAGTTTCAAGGTAATCCTTCATCAAGAAAATAATATAAATAATTAAACTATAAAAGTAAACTTTGTATTAGTGAATAACTTACTGAGACATTGAGAAAGACACTGTCGTTATCTTCTTGCTTGTGGGTCTTAACATCTTCATACGTCACAACCTAACCAATGACATCTACAAATATAAAAGTTAGTTAGACAATTTTGTAAAATGTGATAATAATGGAAGAGAAGAATTACCGAATAATTCTTCCTCATCGACATCATTCTGATTTTTTAGCTGATCAAAAGGACGAAAGTTGAAGATATTCATATGAAATTAAGAATCAAGTATTTCCTCAACCGTTGTCCTTTGTGTAAATGTCAACCTCAGATTGTGTGTCGTAGTTTTTAAACTTAAGTTGTTTGGTCCGACAACAAAGTAGTTCATACGATATAAGCCGAGTTCCTGTATCTTGGTCCTAAAAAACTTAATTACATACTTTCCAATCGAGGCATGGATACGATCGCCCTAAAAAAGATAGATTAATTATTAGAATGTATCATATTGCAAATAAATAGAATATATGCACGAATTAGTGCACAGTTTGTGAAGGCTTGATGTGGATGATGTTGGAGCAAGGGCAAAGCATGTGACTGTTGTGCGTGTTCTTCACAGAATGTGGGAATTGATAGTTAAAGATGGTTTGCTTATTTTGGTTGCTTTTAGATTTTAAAAAATAAAAAGAGAAATATTTATACTACACATAATCATTTCATAAATGAGCCAAGTTTCGTTATGTTCGTCCTAACCATAATCATTTTATATGAGCCAAGTTGCATAATCGTTTCTGTACAAATGACCAAATTATTTTAACCAAAAGCAAAATGCAAAAGTTTAACCATAGATAATGCTAATCTTTCTAATATACTTTACATGACAAAACTAATATTTGTAGAGTCACGATGTTGGCGAAGAAATAGTGCTGAAAGCTAAATGCTGCATTTTGTGTTAATAATCAACCTCAAGGGAAAAGCGAGGCTGCAAAGATATGTAGGCATCAAACATATTTTAAAAACCAGAAACATATTAATAATGCTGAAATACGTGCCTCTGTGATTGTACACAACTCATTTGAATGGTGACGTTGTTCCAGAAGTATAATCGAATCTTTAAAATTATGTGAAGTTGAATAAGCAAAATTGTCGTAAGTTCGTTGTAAAGAAATTAATAACAAACTACTTTCAAAAATAGAAATAAAGTACTGATACTGCATATAATTTTTCACAATCAGTACATCTTATTGTGAAAAATTTATCTATAAAACCAGAAAAGAATAGAAATTTTAGAACTATAGTAATTAAGTTGAATATGTTACCTTTGCATCTTGTAAAATAAACTCAATCGAATATGATTTTCCAGGATTGAAACGATCCGACATTTCCCACATTCGAACGACTCTAACTTTGAGATTCCTTTGCATCGAATTGCTTGAAATTTGACTGATTTCATGAAGTGTTGTAACCATATTTGCAAACTTCTGTACTTTGAGCAGAGAAAATAGAAGAAAGAGCAGACTTTTGAGACATTATTAGCGTAGGAGACAGTTTATAAGTTATGGAGTTGGGTTTTGATGCCCACGTTTGGTTTTGGGAGGAGGATCGTGGAGTATTTTTTTCCCTTTCTTCCTATTTCTATGTAAAATTATTTGTAAAGAAGAGTCCAATTTTTTAAATAGATGATCGTGGTTAGAAACCTGGGAGTTCAAAAAAACGTGGGAGTCATGTTGTAATAGATATGACAAAACGTGGGACTCTATGAATAACTGGCCAAATTATATTTTATATAATTTTTTGTAAATCTCCAAGCTTATTGGAGTTTTTTCTGAAAAATTGACACGCGTTATTTTTTTTATTTTGACACTTGGTGCACCATTATTATGGATTTGCCTCTCCTTTTCTATGTTAATAGATAGATTCTACTTTCATAACTTCACTAGAAACAGAAATCTATCTTTACTCTTCCGCTTCCAAGACTTTTGCAAGCATTGTGAATTCTGTAAGTTTTTTACCCTTTCTGCTCACTTTTTTTTTGGGGTTTATTTGGGAATAAATGCTAATTTTAGATAATTATTTTTCTTTTGCATGTTTGGGTAACAGTAGATTAGCTCTCAGTTGGTTGTTTTTCGTAATTTTTTTTGGATTTTTGCTTTTGGTTGATTTGGGTGAATGATTTCTAATTTTTATCCTTAAAAGTTTTCCGTTTTGCGTGTTTTGGGTTATAGTGGATTAGCTCTCAATTGGATTTGCTGTGAAAAGCTTTTTCTTTTTCAACTTTGTTTAATATCTTTTTGTTTATTATTTTTTCTTGATTCGAATAAATACTACTCCTATATGCTAATTTTCGTATTTCTAAAATATTTTATAATTTTTGAGGTTGAATATATCGGTTGTGTGCATTTTGTAAATGCATGTGCTGTTTATAGGCTAGATTTTGTCAGTTTCATTTCAACTTCTTCTTTGTAAAAGGCTTCTTACAGGTGCTTGTATAAAAAAGCTGATTATTTTTGCATAACTTAACATTGGAAATCGAATGAAGGAAGTAAATAATCTTTCTTTAACCTATTTGAAGTAAAACACAACCCTTATATTGTGCTATATAGCAGGTAATGATTCAACCATGTTATTTGTGCTACTCGTGTACTCTTTATCTTTCTAACTCATTTAATTTCAGAATAAGCAACTGAAAGAAAAAGGATAATTAATTATTAGGTACGTTTTGCATTACAACTATATTATATATCTTTCTTGAGAATGCAAATGGTACTTATTTTACATGGTCTGTAATATTTCCGCGCTTTTGTCCTATTCACATATTTTGTCTTGCCAGCAAACAATAACATTGAATCGCTTTGGTAGTTATACCATCCCTACTAAACCTGCAAATTCAGTTCAGAGTGAGATTATTATCCTCTTTATATGTTGTAACATTTTCTGGATGAGATGAATCTTGGCTTAGATAAACAAGTCATAGTTTGGCCACTCTTCCCATTCACTTAAATAGGAACAATTCATATCATTTTCACTAAATGACATGCGGGACTTTGGTGGATTTTGATTCTGATTATTTATGTTAGTTCAAGTTAGATAGAGTTTTGCTCTACAATTAAGTATTGCATGTTCATACCTCTCTTTACTTTGATTCACATGTCATCTACTTTATTCTACAGCTTCATATTTTATACCAGGTTGGGTTGGAAAAGCTGAGCTTGAAACTTTTGAGAAGGTGACCATGGTATTGGGATAACTTGAATTTCCTTCTGCCAAACAAGTAAGCCATGTATAAAAGCCATCAATCTACATTCTATTGTATTCGTTCTTTTTGTGATATTTAGAATTCAACCAGAATATATGGTTAGTTATTTTGAGGAAAAAAATTCTTTGTCACATGAATGGGTGCACTATTTCAGCACAGGTAGTAGAAATTGCTAAATGAACAGCCTCTGTGATTGCATAAAGGTCTCAAATTATCTGTTAAAAGTAGTTACTCTTTCCACCTTTATTTACCTTTGTAGTGATGCAAATTGCTTATTAAAGCTTCCTTGGACGACCAAGGGTAAAACAGTAATTACAACTTTTAGAATTCACATGTGTGCCTTTGCATAAATCCTTAAGCGTCAAGGTGTTCCCTTCCATTCCCTCAAAACTATGGGGGACATCGCTGCTTCTCCGGTTTATGAATTTTTCGCTCTCTTTCTTCCTCTATAGTCTACTTACTTTACTGTGATTGTTTCTCCATGTTTCTTCCGCTATCTACTTAATGCATCACTCTTCTTGGACACTTCGGTCAACCTCCGTTAGTAGCCGGTCAGTCCTTGTCACGATTCTCCTCTCCCTCCCTAATATTGCTGATTAATAAGTTGGTCTGAGATTATCAGTGTGTTCTCCATCTGTTATTTTTTGTTTTTATCTCCCCACATTATTAATATTAGTAACTATTTTCTGATTAATGTTGATTCCGCTTCTTCCAGCTGCATTGTTTAATTTGGGTATATTGTGTTGGGTTCTGGTTATTTTGTGAATGGATTGATATTTACTTTTTAGAGCTAATGACATAACATCTTGATATAAAACAGATATTTTGCATGGTTACAGGGAGAAATCAAACAACTGAAGAGACTTCCTTTGTTTCTATCCACATTGGAGCTAAACCAGGTGGTCTGCTATCAAATCACCACCATTTTGTTCTTGAGGTACCCACGTGTGAAAATTGTTCGCTTTTTAATTTTCGAGACTTACTTTTGTCTCCCTTAATTTTATCGAACAATTGAAAGATCCAGAGAAACTAGGAAAAGTATGTCATTGAGCATTCCAATTGCTCTTGATTCATTACTGGTTCCGAAAGGACGACATACTCTTGACATATTTACATCTTCTAACTTGGAAGAGTGTTCTACCACATGCACATAAGTTTGAGTAGTGCAAATTTGTATTTATTATTCTTTGTTTGAGGAAGTTAAAAAGTACACTCTCATTTTTTGGCTTATTGAGTTTTTTCTATGAAAGATCATGAAGCGAAGGAGGAGCTTATGGCTGAAAATTTTGTAAGAAGACTTGAAATTCACTATTCCCTTGGACGCAACTAATCTATCGTCTTTAAGGAGGTAATTGTACTGCTTTATACAGAAACGTTTCCAATTTAACTTATGTGGTTGTTGATGACGAGCGAAAACTCCTAAAGCGCCATTTTTATTCATTTACTGTTGTAAGTTCTACAAAATGTGAAGTTCGATGAAGTGTATATGAATTACACGTCTTTTAATTTTTACCACCAAATTGATTAGATTTCATAAGATGTCTTCTTTTGGTTACTAGGCTGTTAAAACTAATATTGATTTCATAAGTGGTTTGGTTTAGTTACTAGGCTATTAAAGCTGGCATTTAAAACAAGCAAAACAAACTTATAGATGTGTACTTTAAAATCCAGTTGATTCATGGTGATAAAGAGGATTTTTTTATAAGTTAGAAATTAAGAGGGTTAAGAAGATAAAAAAGGAGAAAAAATGAGAAAGGAATCACTGGGTGATACAAATTTATTTCATTAACCAAAACCTACTGAAGAAACTTGATGATCGAACATTCCTTTTATTGGTAATATTAGTAGTTTGGTGATTAGTATAAAACTCGGGGACAAGCATCCGTCAATATTTTTAAATCTTAGAAGGCAAAAAGGAGCTGGCTCCTTATGGATTTGTCCTCTGAAAGTTTCTTTAGAGTTGGGGAAGATAAATAAGCGCAACTTTTCTGTTAAGAGTAGCAAGATGGTTCATCTCCATAGTACGGATATTGTTAAGAGAAATTCAATTATTCTTCTAAAATAATATTATTATAATTATGAAAAAGCAATTAGCTGGATCTTGGTGGTGGTCTCTCTGTCCTACCTTCCCTACTTCATTTCACTGTTGAGTGTTTTCTATATTTTTGGTGTTTTCGTACATTATTACATGTTTCTTGTGATACAATGTCAACCTTCACATTTTTCTTCAATACATCATCTGGTCCATAGATTTGGCTGTGATTCTGTGAAGAAACACTTTAAAAACCTCTTCGATAGCTGCAATAGTTCCTAAAGAAAATCTCTTGAAGAATGGGCGTAAAGTAATCAAGAAAGTGAAGATTTTTTTTCCTGGAGTTCTCCTCATTTATATGGTTACATGCCAGGCTTATAATTTTTGAGGTTTTGTTGGAATATCAATTCTATTCACCTGGTCTTGAGCTAGCTTCTTTTATTTTTATTGTTATTCACCCTAACCAAAGGCAAGTGGTTGTGTAGAGGATCAAGAATACTCTATAAGATATTTAGCTACCTTAGTTTTCAAAGTGAATGGGATATAAATTTGATTCCTTGGTTTTCTTTCAATACAACGAACATTGTCAAAAAAATTCAAACTAATTGGCTAGCGGTTTGGAACTGTTTGATCTCCTCTTGCATTATGATGGCGTATGCATTTTAATTTTATTGCTGTCAAAAATAAGTACTTCTGATTTCTAAAATGTTTTATAGTGATTTTTGAGAAAACTACTTTCTTACCTTTGGCACATTTATGATTTATCTATATTTTGATTTGGAAATGTTGTAAAACCACTCGGCCTAATGCCAACTACGTTCCAGAATTTGTTAAACCCATCTGGCACGCTGCCTTATTAGCTAACAATTACCCTCAATTTAGAGAATTCGAACTTTTATGCGGATCACAACATACTTCTGACCGGTAAATTATCGAAAGTAGAGATGGTATTTTTATGAACTTATGATATTAGAACTATGTATTGTTTTCCAAATTTGTACAACTGAGAACTGCAGTTGGTTTTCATGGCAGCTTACTTTGGGCACCAATAACATACGTTATAGTAATTTTAGCACTATGGTGAGTTTCATTTTACTAGATCTATCATGTTTCCCTTTTAGTATTATTGTTGACAAAATATGTTTCCAGCATTTTCACCTGCTTTCTATGTTATATTATTTTGGCGTTTGTTTATTTCTTCAAGATCATTTTTATTGGTATTTATGCTATGATTTACTCCTCCTTACTTCTTCAGTTCCTTACATCTATTCATAGTATCTAAATAAAAGTTAATTAACCTCCCAATAAGGAAAGAAAATATTTAAGAGACTTAATAGGAATTACTATGAACTCTACTCATCCTTTGGTAACTTAATGCTGACCAATTGCATATATTATTATTTGGAAAGTAGTTAAATATGTTTCTGTGATTTCATGCTTAACTTTGATATGCAGCATTCACAAATGTTTTTATTAATATATTTCTGTCATCTATGGACAGATGGTAATCTTCAAGAAAGAGACGTTAACTCTAGGGATAAAGCCTTTCTTTAATAACCAGGTGAAACTGTCTAATGTGAGGATCCAAGACTGATGGGTATATAATCTTTCATCTTTCATCTTTTCGCCTTTTAATTTTGCAGAAAAGATTGAAGCTTCAATTACTGTATATTGACGAGAAACCTTCTCGTGTCAAAACCGAGAACTATGTAAACTGGCAATTTTTCACCCTTGTTTTGTGAACGCAAGGAGATGTTCTTTTGGTTATTGTTTCAAATCACTACTGCTAAGTGCGTTCGTGGTCTTTCTCCTTTCCTAGTGAGATCTCTTTACAAAGACGCACTGATTTATGTAAAGATTGTTTCTTTAAATGTTTTTGGGATCAATGTATTGTGAGCATTTAAGTATTTACATTTAGGTAGTCTTAACATTTGCTTAATCTATTAAGAGTTCGCTTTGTGTACAATTGGCTATATTATCGCACTTTTTGTTTTGCTTGTTCAACCGGTGTAACCACAGACTGAACCATAGCGTTTACGATGACTTTGCTGCTTTGTGGAGTTAACGTTTTATCTGGACATGGCCATATATGCATCCTTATGATGGATAGCTTTGACAAATGCAGAGACATTTCTCTTCTTACTGGGTAATACTGGCTTGTGAGGTAGGGAAATTTTTTGAGCGGTTGTTTACTTTGATAAAAATACCACAAAAATGCTCAATATGATGGATGAATATTTACTTTCGATATGCTAATACCTTCATTCGGGTCCTTATTAATTGGTAAATGGCGTACATTTATTTGCCCCCGTGCATTGCACGGGCATCCACATCTAGTCAATCAATAATTAGAGGTCATGATCAATTGTTTCGGTAATAATTTTGAAATATTTTGATTCGATTTTTTGGTTTTTGATTTTAAAAAATTGTTATACTAAGAAATGTATTTAAAAAATCTGAAGATCGGTGTAAGATAACTGACACAAGTTAAAGTTAAAAAAGATTAGTTATCTTTCTTTAAAGTGACATAAAGTTCTTATGAACTAATTCGATTTTTGAGGTTGTACAAGTCTGAAAAAGCTTTTAACTCGTTTGGTAGGAGGTATTAGAAAAAATAATGCAAGCATTAGTTCTATGTATTACTAATACTTTGCTTGGTACATTTTTTCAACATGTGTATAACTAACATCATACTTGGTATTATCCTATGCATTAGTAATGCATAGAAAACCATGACATTAGTAATACCAAGGCTATTAATGCATGCATTAGTATGTTTAAAGACAAAATTATCCTTAGAGTCCATTAAAGCTAGAGAATATGGAGGACATTTTTGTAAACAACTATTTTTCTTAAAAATTATGTAATGCATTATGATTTTAATACACCACACCAAACAGTAGATAAGAAATAATATATGCACAACTAATGCTTGCATTACTAACACATGCATTATTAATCCATGCATTACTAATACACCTTATTCCGCATTATTCTTATACATCCTACCAAACCACCCATTATTGTTGGTGTGTCAAATTACATATCCACTAGTGCATTTTTCGATGCTTCGCGCGGTCATAAAAATCTTATTAAATATACACAATAAAATTTTTATAATATCTGAATATCAAAAAGATGTTAAAGATTAATTTTAGCTTTCAAATTCAAACTGATTAAATTTCAAGTTTATTATTAAAAGTAGTAAAACATAAATAATTTACAGGATAAGTTTTTGTAATTTCAATCGAGATGAAACAAATAAAACTTTTGTATAGTCGGGCAAACGTTAGTTAGTTCTACATATTAATTAAAGTACATATATAATGATATGATCATAATTAGAGTTTAAAAATATAAGCTCATACTGATCTTATTAAATTATGTGGTCGAGAAACAATCTACTCAAGACCAATGATAGTATTATCCTTAAATTGTTAATCTGTGTACTGATTTTGACATCCAAATAATTGATGTTCCCTTGACATTAATTATTGTATCTTTTATCTTCTCCATATTTTTTATCGACAACGGTATCACCTATGGTCCTACACTTTAGTGAATTTTCCTTTCAAAATTTGAGTGATCTCTCTCTTTTTTATATTTGACCTCTAAGTTTTTTGATTTATATCCATATCAACCACAAACGGTAGTTAATCTTCCAAACAAAAGTACCGTGGATCTTTATTACTTTTGAACTTGTAGGTTATAGATGTAGTACTACTACATGATACAACGCCAATAGTTTTAGATATGTCAGTATGTAAAATTTATTTATATTATAATAGTTAGTTTTAAATCACGTTTTAAGCAATGTAAAATTAATAATTTACTGTTAATTTTTCTTTGGTTATTGATTACCACCGTAGTTTAAAACTGCAAAACAACTATTTTAAGTGAATAATAATAATCATTAGGATGAACCAATGTTTTAAAAGGCGGGGGCGTGAGGCGGGGAGTTTTACCTCTGACGAGGCGAGGCGTAAGCCCTGAAACATGGGGCGTAAGTCCCACGGATCTTTAAATTTTACTAATTTCAAGAATTTTAAAATAGTATAAAATAAAAAGATAATTATAAAATTACTTTACAATAAAAACAACAACGACCCAGTGAAATCCCACTAGTGGGGTCTGGGGAGGGTAGACCTTAACCCTACCTCGAAAGAGTAGAGAGGTTGTTTCCGAAAGACCCTCGGTTCAAGAAGACAAAAAGACAAAAGGAGACAATATCAGTAACACCACAAAAATCATAGGAAAAATAGGAACAACATGAAATCCAGAAGAAAGATGCAAAGCAAAAGCGAAATAGTAACCCTACCAAACTAGTCTCACAAAATTATGAAGTAAGGCAATACTCAACTACCTCCTAACATACAACCCTAATATTCGACCTCCACATATTCCTATAAAGTGCCATGTCCTCGGAAATCTGAAGTCTCGCCATATACTGCCTGATCACCTCCCCCCAATACTTCTTAGACCGCCCTCTACCTCTTCTCGTGCCCTCCATAATCAGCCACTCACACCTCCTTACCGGAGCATCTAGGCTTCGCCTCTGTACATGCCCGAACCATCTGAGCCTCGTTTCTCGCATCTTGTCATCAATGGGAGCCACACACACCTTCTCCCGAATAATCTTTAAACTTACAAAATTATAATAAATAATCTTTTTAAAATATTTATAAATAATAATTCAACTATGAATAATACGAAAAATATGACATATATCATAATATGCAAATTAGCTGCAACGTCGTTACAACTCAAACATCAAAAGTAATGTATTCGATACGAAATTTTATATGTATCTCTTAAGGAGTAATGAATCTTGAAAGATATTCGATATTATAATTTGATATTTTTCTTAAAATACTCCTTTTATTTTATATGCTTTCTATTTGAAAGAGAATTTATATAAAAACATAATTCACAATTTAAAAATGATTCTTTAGCATCATTTATTTTTAAGTTTCAACAAGTTAATAAAGTGACACATAATTCACACATAATTAATTCACCATGATAACTAATTATTTGTAAATATTTACTAGCTGATACTGAGCTATTAAATTAATACGTATTGTATCTCGCAAACGTGAAAAAAATAATATTTAGAAAAAGAATTATAAAAAATTATGGACTATTATATAGTAAAGACATAACAAAATTTAATAAATAAATATTTTTTAAATGAAAGATTTATTAAAAATGAACTATTATAGAAGTCTTACTGGATAACGTGCAATAATTTTTATTTTAATTATGACATAAAATACTCTCAACATAATAATTTATGATTAAGAAAAAAGTAATTTTGAATGGTCAACGATATAGTAAGAAAATTTGAGGATTTACAAGGTTAGTTACATACAATTGCATAAAGTTCTATTAGGCGAGCCCAGTACGCTGAGCGTTGGGCGTGTCTGGGGCGTAAGCCCCGATGGTCGAGGCATAAATCTCACGGAACTAAGCCCCACACGGTCATGACTCAAATCGATGGGCCGCGACGAGTACCCAAGTCCTAACCTGTCGAACACTCTTAAGCATGCGTCTAAGATATAAACATGGATAACATCTGTTGAATTACGAGAATAGCATACGTGAGGAAACCTGTCCAAAAAACGTATATACATACATGTGCGAAATACGTCGGGCAAGCCGACAAGGCTGCTATAGACAACTACATATCCAAAACTAGAAGCCAACAAGGCCACATACTACCCAATTATACATGACTTTCTACAGATCTCTAACAGAATATACAACTATACAAGGACGGGACTAGGCCCCGTCATACACATATATATAAACAAACATATCATACCAAAATCCAAAGCAGCTTCGAATCAAATAGAGCACACCAACTCTCGCTGATCAAGGATCCTAAGAACTGGGACAGTCTGCTTGTCCACCTGCACCTGTGGGCATGAAAAGCAGGCCCCGAAAAATAGGGTGTCAGTACAAATAATGTACTGAGCTTGTAAGGCATGAAAATCAGTACATAAAAGACATAGATAAAACATGGAATAAAGAATTTCGCCTGTAAGTCTAATTAACTTTGTAAATCCTGAAATATTTATAATGTCATGCACGTGCGTGTAAATGTCGTGTCATGCATATTTATAGGTGTACATAACATCATCAAGCCTCTACGGGCATCCTATTATATGATTTCGGCTACTATGGGCAAAATCATCAATATATANTATATATATATATATATAATGCCATCTGATCACGAGTCAATGTACGTGTATAAATAAATGCAATGCATGAGAAGTACGTCAATAAAACCTCTCAGAATGTCATAAGACCTGTGACGACCTGGCCAGACGCCTCATGAGTTACCGCTCTGTTTTCCCCATTTTTTCTTCTTTATGCTTTGTTTATCCGTGTTATGTGGTATTGGGTTGGTCGGATCGAATCTGGAATGATTTTGGAAAAGTTTGAGACACTTAGTCTCTTTTGAGGAAGCTTAAGTTGGAAAAGTCAACCAGATATTGACTTATGTGTTAGAGGACTCGGATGTGAGTTCCGAGGGTTCGGTTAGCTTCGGGAGGTGATTTGGGACTTAGGAGCGCGATCGAAATGAGTTTTGGAGGTTCGAAGTAGATTTAGGCTTGAATTGGCGAAGTTGATATTTTGGCGATTTCCGGTTGGTAGGTGAGATTTTGATATATGGTGTTAGAATGGAATTCTGAGGGTTGCACTAGTTCCGTTGTGTCATTTGGGATGTGTGTGCAAAATTCCAGGTCATTCGGACGTGGTTTGATTGGGTTTTTGATCAAAAGCGTAATTCGGAAGATTTTGGAAAGTTAGACTTGAATCTGATGTGTTTTGGTTGATTTGATATTGTTGGAGGTGTTTTGAA